TAACATCCTGGTTAGTTCTGAACAACGGGGCCGGCCAGCGTGATGTGCGCCAGCTGCTGGTGTCGCTCGTCACCTGGGCTTTGCCATGGGCAGGAGGGCCGGCTGCGGGCACTTGTTCACAAGCACGCGTGTGGAAGGCACCTTGTTAGGTGGGCAGGGCTTTGCCAGTGTGACCAGGGCTCTCGCCTCTGCTCAGTTCACAGCGAAGCAGCTGGAGAAACTGGCCAAGAAGGCGGAGAAGGACTCGAAGGCGGAGCAGGCCAAGGTGAAGAAGGTGAGGCGCTGCCACTGTCCTTACTTCTGGGTCTTCTTTCTTGTTCTTTCTTTTTTTTAAATGCATTTTTATTGATTTCAGAGAGGAAGGGAGAGGGAGAGAGATAGAAACTTCAATGATGAGAGAGAATCATGGATCGCTGCCTCCTGCACGCCCCACACTGGGGATCGAGCCTGCAACCCTGGGCGTGTGCCCCGACCGGGAATCGAACCGTGACCTCCTGGTTCATAGGTTGTCGCTTAACCCCTGAGCCACACCAGCTGGGCTCCTGGCATCTCTTCGTGGCTGTGGCTTCCACGCAGGGAAGGGGAGGGGCCGCTGCTAAGGCCACAGAAAAGGGGGGGGCTCCTTTTCTGCCCCCCACCCCCAGGCACCCAGAGCAGAAAGATGAGGCATCGCCTATGCTTTTTCCTTGATGTCCATGCCTTTTATTCATTCCCGCCGTTCTGAACTTGAGTTTTTTCTAAATGGTGTAGGAAGTGGGCTTCTGGCGGTCGCTCCTGACCCCTGCACTGAGCCCGCTTTTCCCCACGAAGCTCGGGCACCAGAGCCTGGGCAGAGGGGAGGCAACCCCTCGTGGGGTGAGGGCAGGGCTGGAGGCCAGGCCAGGCCCCTGAGCAGGGTGGGCATGGCCCCAAATTTCAGGCCCTGCAGCAGAAGAACGTGGAGTGTGCCCGTGTGTACGCGGAGAATGCCATTCGCAAGAAGAATGAGGGTGTGAACTGGCTGCGCATGGCGTCTCGCGTGGACGCAGTGGCCTCCAAGGTGCAGACAGCTGTGACCATGAAGGGGGTGAGTGTCTGGCCCGGCCTCATACCTGTGGGTGCTCCCCCTGCTGGCCACGTCCAGGGGACGAGCTGGGGCTGGAAGGGGTCATGCCAGGGCCCTTTGGGTCTGCGGGGTGGACGGGGGAGTCCCTGCACAGCAAGTGCCTACCAAGGAGCGCATAGCCCTAGAGCCGGGTGTCCTCGGGCTTTCCCTCGGGCCACGCCGGTCTCGTGTCCACTGGTGGCGGCGTTTCCTGGGCGCCCGCAGGAGGGCCTGTGCGGCCCGGGGGCTGCTGGCTCGGCAGGGCTGGATCTCGCTGGCCTGGGTGGAGGAGGGCTCGGGCCTGTCCCTGGTGGGATGTCCCCTCCTCAGTCCTGTTGCCTCCTTACTCCCTCCTGGGCCAGGTGACCAAGAACATGGCGCAGGTGACCAAAGCCCTGGACCGAGCGCTGAGCAGCATGGACCTGCAGAAGGTGTCTGCGGTGATGGACAGGTTTGAGCAGCAGGTGCAGAACCTGGACGTGCACACCTCGGTGATGGAGGACTCCATGAGCTCGGCCACCACGCTGACCACGCCACAGGAGCAGGTGGACAGCCTCATCGTGCAGATCGCGGAGGAGAACGGCCTGGAGGTGCTGGACCAGCTCAGCCAGCTGCCCGTTAGCAGGTGTCCTCTGTGCTGAGCCCCGGTGGGGCCACCTCCGTGTCCCTGACCCCTTGTCAGGGTCCCGACAGCACACAGCGCGAGCACAGGAGGCCTGGGGCAGGGGGCCAGCGATCTCCAGGTGGGGTGGCTGGAAACACTCCCTGCGTGACACCCGGAGGCCGGAGAGAGTGGGAGTGGGGAGCGAGCAGGAAATGAGATGGTGGCTGTGGTGTGGCCGGGGCCCCTGTGAGGCTGCGGTGGGGGCTCCCCGGCTTGGCCTGACTGCCCAGAGCCTGGCCCCCAGGTGATGGAGGACTCCATGAGCTCGGCCACCACGCTGACCACGCCACAGGAGCAGGTGGACAGCCTCATCGTGCAGATCGCGGAGGAGAACGGCCTGGAGGTGCTGGACCAGCTCAGCCAGCTGCCCGAAGGCGCGTCTGCCGTGGGCGAGAGCTCCGTGCGCAGCCAGGAGGACCAGCTGTCGCGCAGGTGGGTGAT